ACACATAATTAAAATTAAGTGATCAAACGAATGACAAGAGAATCGAGGAGTATCGGAAAGTAGCCTAATTTGGACCGGTTCCCAAGCATTTCTCCTACTTCAAATTTCTTATGTTTTAGGAACGGTTTGAGGTTAGGCGCGAAGGATTTCCACGAAATAGGATCAGAGACATTAGACCCTGTTCTCAGTTGCAATCCATGAGAAGTAACGAGGAAGCTAAGTTTCTATTCGATACGGATCCTGGGAGTTCGGATCGAGGAAAGCTGAAAATAAACAGATAACTTTATCGACGGCGTGGCAGCGTCGTTATCGAGCTAAATTAAAACGCCCCGGATGCCTGGGACGATAGGCCACGAGACATCGACACCTGTTAGCGTAGTAAGCGTATCTCCCGTACGCACGCGCTTAATTCACGTGAAATTTTATTGTTCCCTCCGTGGTGCGCCGTTTACGTGCACCCCAGACCGGAAGTATCGATAATGCAGCGGGTACAGCATGCGAAACTCGGCAGATGAATGCGAACGGGGCACGTGGGTGTGTCCGTGCGTTCGTTTCTCCATTCATGGTTGAATTGGACCTGACTACCGAGGGTTGTTCATTTATATTCAATTATTACACCGTTTTTTATCGACTGTGTGTCTCAGTCAACACGCGTTAATTAATTAATCCTCAGATCATTGATCGTTTTTCCCCTCCCGATCGAATTTCATAATTCTCTTTATGTTGGTAGGTTGAAAACTAGTAGTAGAAGGATTCTCACAATGAAAATGGACTCAGACACCACGGATAATTTTTCAGAACTCGATTCCACCGTCAGCTGTACGAAGACTTAACTGTAAATCAGCTCGTAGCGTGGCCACGCTCCGCGAAATAGGTACAGACCGCTTTTAATGCAATGCATCGGCTTCGATGGTTTAATCCAAGCTCGGTTGTAATTCGGAACAACGTCACGTCCAGAGTATAATCTAATCAAGGCCCTAATCTAGCCTAAATTCATCTCGACCCGACTTGGATCTAACATTGTCTATCGAAGGCCCCAGTGGCAACCGATACCGTAGCTCGGTTCGGTTACCTATCGTGGAATGAATTTCATTCTTGATGTAATCTAATCGTGCGTTTGACGCGACTGCCACGAGAATTTAGAGCGTTCGGTATATTACTTATTCCGTTATAACAAAGGCAGATGGTACACGGATTAACGACTAACGATTCGGTACCCTCGTCCTTAAATTACACTGGTATTTGGTTACTCGTGTCACCGAATATCTTTACTCGATTCGAGTCTTCTTGCTGCAATTGTTTTCAATCAGTTCGGTAACTTCGGTCATACCGGCAACCACTGTGCCAGTTAACGCGTTGATCTAGCCTTAAACCGCTGACTTCCATGTTGACCCGTGTTCTCGAATATCTTGATGCACGTTAAACGAAGCTCAACCGAGCCCAGATTTCAGACGCGAACCGTCACGGTCTAATTAACCGTGCACATTGAATTTTCAACGCGACCACTTTCCGGATCGATATTACAAGAAATTTTCGACGAAAGTATATCCGGGGAATCTCGGACCAGCGTTCCGTGTCTTAGACATTCGCGTTCATTTTTCGCCGACGTTACCGTTGAGCAGAATATTCACGGTCTCGGGGACCGTTCCACGGCGCTCTTCGCGTTCGCGCGGCTGTAACTGTGTCGCGCTCGTGCTTCGATTAAATCATGCATGTAATCAACGTGATTTCTATTTTTTTTTTCCTCGTCTGCAGTCTTTCTTCGCTTTTTCTATTTCCGTCACGGCCGCTTGCCGCCCGTAATCACCGGGAGAGCGTGGTTTCTCTCCGCAACGGCGAATCCCCGGTCTTTTTACACGTTGATCACTTCGTGTATTTGTTCATGCCCCGATACGAATTCCGCGTTATCGTAAAACTGAAATTCTCGATCTGCTATGTGTTCATCGACATTCTGGCTGTCGAGCAATTACAGTAACCTTCTCGAACTTCATCGAGTATATCCCTTAAAATTCGTAGCGCTATCTGCTTGACGATTTCACGATTTCAATCATTGCGAATTACAGATGTTTGGCTCTCACTTTGACCCGATAGTTTCATCGTTGATTCGTTCGATGATCAACCAATGTTCCGCTAGTTCTCTGCTGATTCGTTCTCCGTTTTCTTACCTTTAAACAAGCGTCTCATTACATTAGTACACCGTTTCATTGCTCTCTACGCTTTCTTATTGCAGGGATTGCTTGACAGATTGTAGCCCGAGGCGAATCAGTCAGCAAAAATACGGAACCGTTGCTACCAAGGAGAATTTTCGAATCTTTCTGCGAGTAGGAAACAAGAAATGACGAATTTAACTTGCATGTACCGAAATCTTGTTCTCCGACTCACTCTGCGATCCGATTCGCCTCGGCTACCCTGCGTTCATCGTTCATTAGGGGCACGAGTTGTCTAAACAGTGTTGTACCGTAAAATCGCGAGAAACGAGCCTCGCGACGCGGGACGGTTTTCACGAACGGACGGACGCGCAGTAGGAGCGGCTCGCTCGCTCGCTCGCGAGGCGACCACGCAACGGGAACAAAACGATTTAGCCATGAAAAAGCAGAGCGCAATAACAACTCGCTCTCGGACTCGGCGGTGGCGTGTGTTACGGTAGGACACGGCCAATTATCTCGGTCCGTGCGGTGAAAAACTGCTCGTAAAACGTCGCTCCATTGTTGCCCATTGTTGGGTCTCCTGCGAAAGACGGCCGAGCGCGAAAAGAATGTTCCTCGTTTGTTATTTGTTCCGCGCGACCCGGGCGAAAAAGAAAACTCCGAGCTCCCGCGGTTCTTCCGACGCCGTTGGTCGAGAGACAATCGAGCGTCGGTGAAATCCGTCCGCCCCGGTCCGCTTTTCTCCTTGTTTGCGAGGAAAAACGGTCGTCGTTTCGATCGATCATTCAATTTCGGACGGTTCATGGGGTGGAACGGAGTAATCTGTAGCGATGCGAATTAATAGTAGAACTACCAAGTAGACGATACGATTTATTAGTTTGTTGTTTCAGTTGCAAGAAAGTTATTGATTTGTACCTTAGTTTATGCGTTACTGAAACTGTTCAATAATTGCACAGAAAACCGGTTGTATCTTAACAATCATTCTGGAAAAAGAGAGTGAGTCATTTTGATCCATCTAGTGATCCTAGTGTTAAAAGAAATCATTTGCCTCCAGGGTAGGCTCTTTGTTTTTAACATGAATTATCGTTATCAATGTTGTCCATGGTTTTTGTACAAATACTTCTATGTTTGCACTGTAGAGACGGGCCCGTTCTGCGCATCCGTACAGTCGGGATTCAAATAGGATTTAGAAGAGGAATGTAATGGAATAATAATGGTAACTGGAGAACGTCGACGGGAGTGGTAACAACACGGAATGTAATACGATTTAAGCTGTCTCGTAAGTGTCCGGGGCTAGTGGAACTTCTCGTACGGTGCACCCTTTTTATAATCGCGATTCCTCGGCCACTCTCGTTACAGGCGTGCCAGCGATCCCGGTATGTCATAAATCTGTTCTGGGAAAGGTTCAACGAAACGAGGAAGTCTGAGAACAATTGTGAAGGTATCGAGGAAAGCGATATCTACACACTTGATCATCGAGCTTCAATATTTGACCCATTTTCCTGCATTTCACCGGCAGTACTTTCTTTCGCTCGCGTTCTTGTCGTACTCGTCTAAGCATGGTATTTCATTAAAATATATTATTCTCTGAGAATGTGTTAAATACGGAAAAACCATTTCCTTAACATTTTTCAACGAAAAGATTGGTTGCGGGACAAAATGGGTTAATAAAAAGTTAGAGCAAAACCGCGCAACGAACTGCAGTTCTTCCGAAGGCTTGAAGTTTTAAGAGAAAACCTTGCGAACGGATATGCCGAGAACAGTTGCGCGTGATCAATGTTTTCCTCCCTGCGAAGGCTGACTATAGTCAGCCTTAGCAGTGAAAAGGTCGACGCTTAATTTCCTTCGGAGCTTTATGCGCTCGTGTGTACCGTAATCCGTAGGAAATCCGTAATATGAAGAGTGAATTGATGAAAAAAAAAGAAAGCGTGTCGCTGGCGCGTACTCGGAGCTCGCTGCTCTCTGTAATTGCCTCGTCGAACCCGAGTGGCGCGACTATAGAAAGGGAATGCAGCGTTTGATGGTATCGGTAGCCCCCCGGCTCCGCCCTTCGAATTGTTATAAATTATAAAGTAGTCGTGTGAGTCACTGTGCGTGATACGATCGAAGCGGATTGTACGTTCTCGCTCTCGTAGGGCTTTCTCTCGTGCTTTCAGCCCGTTAATTAATTTTTCAAATCTCAACGGTCTTGCGGGGGTAATTAAAAGCGACCCGGAGCTATTTCACTCGTTTCATTTCGCGAATCGCTCCGTTAAGGCTAGGCTTACACGTCATTTTAATGCATATTTAATGTTTACCGACATTATTTGTACATTATTAATTACCACGAATAGGTACTCCAGTTGTTTAGCTTCAAGACCTCTGATTTCCAACATCTAAATGAGCAAATATCAATTTTTCTGGGGACAACGGAATGAACTACAATAAATGTGAACCTAATGTTAAGATCGACAGGAGGGAATCGTAAAATCAGATGTGATAATAAGAATGACAACTACTAACTACATAACAATCGACGCGAGATAGGAGGGGGCATCAGAATAATAGAAATATGAACTATAAATTAACAAGTAATTAAGAGATATCGGACGTATATCGGCAAAGCTGACACCCGCTTACCGAGTGTGCCGCGAATCAAAAACAACCCTCGAAGCACTCGGCTGCGAATTCTCGCGTAAAAATAAATTAATCAAAGCGTCGATCCCGCTTCGACGCTTCCGCCGGAATACACTCGTGAGGATCGGAAGCGTGCGTCTCGTTTGGGAAGCGTTGTTCCCCGTTTCGGAAGCGTGATTCCCGTTAACTCGAGCGCGTCGGCGAACCCCGAGAGCTGCGTCGTTTTGCTCCACGCTAGAACTGCCAGACATTTTATTTCGCGATTACTGCAATCCCCACGGTGAACGTTTCACGGTGTTCATTTTGCAGTTGTCGGGATTATACAAATGCTGGGGCGAACAACACTGTAAAGGAAATTCGTGTGTTCGCGCGTGTGCAAGGATCGCCTCGAATCTCGAAAAATCTGCTGTTCTAATTTTTACGAGCAACTATGAATAATTCAGACCAATTTCTCGGTGGATCTAGCATTAAACTAGCCACTCATTAGCCAAATCGGCTGACTCCACGAAACGAAAAATAGAGTAGAGTAACGCGATGATACACATTGATCTTCAGAATTTCTCTTTGAACGAAGAATTAAGTAAACATCATCACTGACACGAACATCACGCGTTTACAGGCTTATCGTCGATCCATCGTGTAAATTTCCTAACATAGTAGACGTATCTTTCAAGCAATCTTCATTATTATCGGAACGCTGGCACGGGCCAATAACAAGAGAATTTGAAATACAAGAACCATACTTCGACCATAAAATCCGAAAATTTAAAAAACGGAGTTCACCGACTCGACCAACGAACGACCGAAAACGATCGTTCATCTCCGCGATAAATTCCGCGCCGCAATCAGCGAAATGAAAGAACTGTCGCGCATCGTGGGCGGGGAGCGATAGAAGGGATCGAGGGTGAAAAGAGGAGGAATCGGTCGAGCTACGAAACCGCCTCGCGAAAACGTCAGCGGGCGGTTTTTACAGCTTCGAGGCCCTTTAATTTCACGCGTCGAGGAATCCTCCAGCCCCTCGTCTCTTGTCTTCCCCGCGGTTCCGCCATCGCCGAACCCCAGCGCGGAAGACCCGCGTGTTTCAATGCCGCGCGCGCGCTCGACGAAAGGAAAAGGGTTGCACGACAAAGAGACGGGGTAAAAAGCGGCGGGACGCACGCCACCAGCCCCTTTGATTGGTGACGCTGTCTGCGAGCGGCGATAAAAAAGCGCCGCCGCCGCGCCAGGGCCCTCGCGGGATCACGGTGTTTGCGCGGGGAATCACCGAGGGTCCTGGCCGCTCTCCTAGTTTTCACGCTGACGCGATCTTACGACCGCGGGCTTGATTCCGATTGATCGGATTCGAGCGCGCGGTGAATACGCTATGAGTCCTTCGCGCGCTGTATACGGGCGCTGCGAGCTTCGGCTAGGTTTCGCGAATTGTTGGATATGGAGAGTGGAAGGTGAAGTGGAAATATCGTACGCGGCGGACTGTAGGATACAGGGAGTAGAAGACGAAGTAGAAATATTGTGAAAGCCTGGGTGAAAGTTGGAAGTATCGTTGATTTATGGAGACTGTTCGCTTCTTGCTTCGGACCTTTTTATTCGTTGTAGGCATTGTACTCTTTGTAGTCGATTCGACCATATCTTGCTTCACAATATCCTCTCGAATACATTCTCCGAATTCCAAGGGACAACGCAGCAGAGTTGCCTATGAAAGAAGTCGGACAAGGGGTTAATCAGAGACAAGAAGACCCCGCGTTCCCAGTTTTGTAGGATACATCCGTTAAAGTATGTACGAACTCGCAGCGAGGTTTCACGATCGAGTATCGCTATCAACGGCGTACGAAGCCTGCTCCCCTGCGCCCTAGCCCGAGGGTAGGGAAACGGTAGCAATCGTCGTAGCAATAAGGGAAGTGCGCCGCGTGTAGCTCGTACAATGCATCGGGAACCGACGGGGACCCTGAAAAAGCGGTCCGGGGATGGGAGGCCTCTTTTTCTCGTTGTATCAGCGATCGCGCGCGATGCCCGTAGTCGAGGCACGCTTCACAGAAGCTGTTACATGCCCACGCGAACGCGGCCGAGCGCCGTGATGTATACCGCCCCGGTCCGTACTCGTTGGCCGGAAAATTGTCAGCCGGCGCGTATCCGGCTGCGACGACGTGCCGCGCCGTCGATCGATCAAACATTCCTCGACGGACGACCACGTACTGTCCGCAGACGATATCTTTGCACGTCTCCGACCAACTGAGGGGAAAGTGCGGCGAGGGGGCATTGAGCACGGTTTGACAAAGTCGGGGAATGAGTGTAATGAAAAGAAGTCGGACAGACAGTCCTCCAGGCGTCGAGGATCTTACTTTTTCGAACGTAGTGTCGGTGAATTGTTGGGATTGTTGCGATGTAAATCGGACTGGTTGGACTGAATTAATGTAATTAACGAGATTAAAGGGTCGCTTCCTTGAAATCGATCGAACTAGTCCTTGATCTTGTTTCAGTTGTCGGATGTCTGTGTCTTCAATTGGCTTGAGTGACGCATGGATCTTGTATAGGATCTTGTCAGGTGTTCATTGATATTTAGAAACTAATAGTTCTTGAAGTGAGTGGACTCTCCTTGACGTTCCTTAACTAACGAATAGCAAATTAGTATCGAAAATGAGCCGAGGAAAGATGAAAGCCGACTGATTAGACCCGCATTCTTGCCAAGGCTCTTCTCACGAACAACAAAGAGTACACACGTCGTCTTCCAGTCGAATGCTGCGAACTCTTCGTTGATTCGACGAGAGACGAGACACGCGTCGGTCGGAATAATTCCGCTGGAGCCAGCTCGCTCGTCACTCGACGGCAAATTGGACGCGCCAGCCTCATTTGCACCCTCCTTCGATCATGTTCAAAACAGTCGTTTTCCCGTGAACGTTGAATTTCTTCGTTGATTCGGGCCACGAGATCGAAGCGATCCGCGCGCGTTCCACTTGGAGCCAGTTTGCTCGATGGCAAATTGGGGACGCCTTGTTTGCTCCCCCTTTGATTGCGTTAGGGGTGTTCGAAGCTTCGTGGTTCACCGGTGCATGTCCTACGCCGGTGACTCGAGCATTACTCTTAAATTTGAAATTTAGATTTTTAAACCTTGCCAGCTAATTCCGAATCGAGCGATCTGATCGTTGTCGCTTTAGAATTTTGGAGTTCTGAGATCCGGAAATATCGAAATTTTGAAACTTCGAAGGTAGCTAAACCTACGAACAAAATTGATCGAAGGCAGGCAACGGTCAGAAGTGGAGAATTTTTAACGCGCAAACGGTTGTTTCCATGTCTCTCGAAGTGATACTCTGTAGAAGGCTAAACGTTCACGTGCACACGCGAGAACGCTGCCGTGCTTCGTATCGAGAGACCGCGGTAGGGTTCCGTTAACTGGAAAATACGAGCCAATAATGGGACTCGAGAACCCCCTGAGGTTACGGAGACTCGTTTCTTGTACCCGACATACTCGTCCCCGGGACTTCTGGGATTGAGACGCACGGCCCCTCTGCTTATAGAAAGATACCGCTTCTCGATTGTCCACCTGATGCACTATTTATAGTGTTTAGCTAGCCATCGCTTCTTACGATGCTCGCGGTATCGCCTTATCAATTTATTTTAGAACGTGATGTTCAGGCAGATCGATTCCCGGTTGTAGTCCTGGGTTCTCGA